TGGGATTTTTGGGGTGGCCTGGGGCACGGATGGGGGGTGAATGAGGCGCCCCCCCTCTCTTGGTAGGAGTGCCGGAAGAATGGCTGCTGCCAGAAGGACTGCCAGTTCAAAAAGGACATCGACTGCCTCTACGGACTCTGCTGTGAGAAATGCCAGGTGAGGGACCAGCCGCTGATGGGGGGCAGGCAGATAGTTAGGCCGCTGCAGGCGGGGCAGGCGGGGGGGCTCTGGGCCCAGGTCGGACGCGGCCGGCTCTTTCCTCGGTAGCTCCAGCTTCCCGGCCCTTCTCAGGCTCAGATCAAAATGGGTGGGCTGGGGTGATTGTCAACGGGATCCTGATAGGAGGGGTTAGTAGTGGCCTTTGGGTATTTCCTTCCTTCCTCCCTCCCTCCCTCCCTCCTTCTCTCCACCTTCCTCTCTCTCATATTTCATCTCCCTCCCTCCTTTTCTCCTTCCTTCCTTTCTTCCTCCCTCCCTCCCTTTAATTAATTCATTCTTCCTCTCGTTCTCTCATCCCTACCTCTCTTCTTCCTTCCTTCTTTCCTCCCTCCCTTCCTTCTTCATTTATTCACTCATTCTTCCTCTCATTCTCTTCTTCCTCCCTCCTCCCTCCCTCCCTCGTTTATATTTCTGTCTCTCCACCTTCCTCTCTCTCATATTTTTCTTTCCCCCTTGTACTTTTCTTCATGTTCTTCCCTCCCTCCTTTTCTCCTTCCTTTCTTCCTCCCTCCTTCCCTCCCTTCCTTTCATTAATTCATTCTTCCTCTCATTCTCTCCTCCCTGCCTTTCTCTTCCTCCCTACCTCCCTCCCTTCTTCATTTATTCACTCATTCTTCCTCTCATTCTCTTGTTCCTCCCTCCCTCCATCTCTATATGTCTCTCTCTCCACCTTCCTCTCTCATTTTTTTGTACTTTTCTCCATCTTCTTCCCTCCCTCCTTTTCTCCATCCTTCCTTCCCACTCCTTAACTGAAGCCAGATTCTCTTAACAACCGGGCTACTTAACAACTGTGGCCAGAAAGGTCATAAGATAGGGCAAAACCCACTTAACAACGTCTCGCCTTGGCAACAGAACCTTCTGACTCCATTGTGGTCCTAAGGGGAGGCTACCTTTACCTGTGTGGATGTTTCTAATTGTATCACTGGTTCTCCGTAAGACCCCCGGGGGGCCTTGGGGATTCTGGACGGTGGGAAAAAGTCAAACCACAAAATGCCAGCAGGGGGTTTGCAAGAGTGTGTGTGTGTGGTGTGTGTGGTGTGGGGGGGTGTTTGTGTTGTGTGTTTGTGGTGTTTGTGTGTGTGTGTTTTGTGTCTGTTTTGTGTGTGTGTGTCTATAGTGTGTGTGTTGTGGCTGGGGGGTGTTGTGGGTGGGGGTGTATTTGTGTTGTGTGTTTGGGTGTGGGTGTGTGGGGTGTATGTGTATTGTGTGTGTGTTGTGTATGTTGTGTGTGGTGTGTGTGTGTTGTGTGTGTGTTGTGTGTGTGTATGTTGTGTGTGTGTGGTGTGTGTGTTGTGGCTGGGGGCTGTTGTGGATAGGGGGTGTTTGTGTTGAGCCAAGGTGGCGCAGTGGTTAAATGCAGCACTGCAGGCTACTGCTAGATCAGCAGGTCAGCGGTTCAAATCTCACNAGCAATCCAATTAGGGTTAATTTCGCCACTCAATTCTTTTGCTTACGGATCTAATTTGGCTTTAAAGAAACATTTCTTTGGGCAGTCTTTCGCAAAATAAAAAAAAATACCTCACCAGATGGACTCACTTTCTCTTTTCACTTCCTTACTTCTGGAGCATCCCGATTTCATCCCCCTGGGGGCTGCCTGTTTACCGGCTTGAAGCTCTTCCCTTGGGTCGATCAGGGACTTTGCAATGTCCCTGAGACTAGCAAGGCTTCGTCCTCCTGATCGTCGTCTCTGCGGGACAGTTTAGGTCTCAATGGACCGTCCAGCGGCAAAAGTGTCAACGGCGGTCTCGGAGTATCGAGACCGCACGTTGTGACATAGCGATGTGGCTCCTCCTTCCTCAGGAGACTGTGATTTCTAATCCAGCCTTAAGCATGGCTATTTGGGTGACTTTGGGCCAATCACCAGGAGATGGTGAGTTCTAGTCCCGCCCTTAGGCAAGAATGCTAGTTGGATGACTTTTGGCCAATCGCCAGGAGACGTTGAGTTTCTCTTCCTTTCTTAGGACATAGAAGGAACCTGGATCCAAAGAATTTTCCTGAAACAAGGAGGGAAGCAGCGGCAACTTCATGTAAGTGGATCAAATAAAACTTGATGAGGGAGGAAGAGTGAACAATATCTTTTGTGTCCGACAAAATTAACTACTTGTGAGGAGAAAAATTAACTTGAACGCAATGCTCTGTGTACAATTGTACAAAACGCTAATCCCGTTTTATAAAAAGACTCACCAATATTGTAAAGTTACAAGTTACTTCTTTCTTTTCCAAACAGTGGATGGAAAAATTCCACGATCGTTTTTCATTTCCTAACCACCTGCAGCCTAAAACCATAACTGTAAGTTCTTGGTCAAATCAATATTGTGAAAATGAGGTTGTTTCTTGATGCAAAAGATGTGGCTTTGGGTATGTTTTTCCCCCAAAAGGCCGGCCTTTACTTGGTTTGTAAAGACTATCATTTACAAGGCCTTAATAAGAGCCGGAGCTCCTAGTATACAGAATTACAGAGTGGGAAGGGACCTTGGAGGTCTTCTAGTCCAACCCCTTGCTCAAGCGGGAGCCCCAGTACCATTTCAGGCAATCTCTTTTTTTTAAAAGCCTCCTACAATTTGTTTTGACCGAGGCTTCCCGAGAGCAGGAAGCAAACTCCTGACAAAAAACCCTTTTCTGCTCCTTCACATCCAGCAAAGTCTTTCCAGGGAGGATTTATAGTCACAGACCTTATCTGGCTTGGAGAGCTGCCAGGCCGAGATCTGCAAAACTTGGCCAGGAGCCTCGGAGAGTCACGAACCAATGAAGGGAACTCATGGTCTCCTGCAAACTCCACTTCCCCTTGTAAAATGGGGCAAAGCAGACTTAACCAACGTCCCACTTAGCCACAAAAATTTGGGGCTCCATTGTGCTCGTAAGCCGAGGACTGCCTGCCGTATCTCTGTGGCGGGGATATTTAAGAAACCGGCCAATATAAGCATTTCTTTCTCTCTCTATTTTTAAACAGGAAGAGGGCACTTCGGCGATCAGAATTGTCCTTATGAATGAGGAATACCCCAAACTCAAAGGGCCCGCTGTATGTCGGAGGGGGGGGAGAAAGGGGGGTGGGATTTTTGGGGTGGCCTGGGGCACGGATTGGGGGTGAACGAGGCGCCCCCCCCCCTCTCTTGGCAGGAGTGCCGGAAGAACGGCTGCTGCCAGAAGGACTGCCAGTTCAAAAAGGACATCGACTGCCTCTACGGACTCTGCTGTGAGAAATGCCAGGTGAGGNCTATATTGACTATATATAAAGTAATTTTCCCACGGCACACCTTACACTATGTCACGGCACACTAGTGTGCCGCGGCACAGTGGTTGAAAAACACTGGTTTAGATTAACCAAGAGACCCAAAGGAGGAGGGAAATAGGGCGTTGGGATGAAACTGTATAGAACAGGGATGGCGAACCTATGACACGCGTGCCACAGGTGGCATGCAGACCCCTCTCTGTGGGCATGCCAGCCATCACACCAGCCCAGCTCTACTGCACATGCGCATGTCCCTCCCACCGGCCAGCTTGTCTTTGGGTCTCTGCTGGTGTGCATGTGCGGGGAGGGGGGCCCATGTGTGGGAGGCGCTCACATTGCATTTTGGGGGTTCATGCGCGTAAACACTCCCCCACAACCCATTTTGGGCCTGGAAAGCCGCCTGCACCAACCTGGAAGACAAAATTGGATGAGGGGAGACGGGGGGAGGGGGCATGCACAAAGGACGGGTGGATGCACAGGGTTAGGGCGCATGCACGGGGGGCTCTTGTGTTGCATTTCGGGGGTTCACATGTGTGCATGAGTGCTTTGGACACTGGGCACCCAAAACGTTAGCCATCCCGGGTACATAAGGTAAGGCTCAAAACTTCCATTTGAAGGTGTATTCGCCGCACTTTGCAAACGGCTATTATGATTTTCTTTTACTAGAATCTTTTTGCTTTCACTGACCAATTTTTGTTGGCTAAAAACCATCCCCAACACAATTGTAGTGATTCACTTAACAACCGTGGGAAGAAATGTCACAAAGCGGGGCCAAACCCACTTGCCTTGCCTAGGAACATAATTTTTGGGACTCCACTGTGGTCGTAAGTCGAGGACCACCTGCAACGCAAGCTTCCCCTCCCCCACTTGCTTGGGGGGGGGTGTCCCTTGCCAGCCCTGCCCCTTCCCCCCCCAAGCCGGAAATGCCCCTTCCAGGCGAACAATTGAGTTGCGGGGGGCATCCGGTTGACCTTACGACCCCGCCACCCCCTCGGAGGGTCTTCCCCTCCCACCCCCATACCTGTCCCTGGTGGTCGATGTAGTAGAAGTACTCGCGGGTGCGCGGCGAGGGGCTCTGGCCTTGCTGGTAGAGTGGCTGCCCGGGTCCGCGACGGATCCCCGGGCGCAGCAGGAAGCCCAGGCCGGTCCGTAACAGCCGCATCCCGGCTCCGGTCGCTGGCGGCGGAGAGGACAACCCGGTCGGTAGGCCGGCGCCGTTGTACCGGAAGCGCTTATGGGGGACCCTTCCGCTGACGGACGCGCTCCCGCCGGCGCGCGGGGCCGGCAGGAAGGTTCCGCCCGCGGTGCGACCCCTGCTGGCCGGGAGTGGAATGTCCGTCGCTTGGTCGCCCCGAGAGCGGAGTCCGGTCCGCGCTGCTTTTCCTGGCCAAGACCGCGTGAGTAGCCCCCCTCCCGCTGCTCTTGGGCGCCCCCAGTGGACGCCTGGAGGCCTTTGCACCTGGAGGGGCGTCTGGGCTCAGAGGGAGGAGAAGGCAGAGCCTCAAGAGGGGCACCCCGAGAGCAGGAAGAGGCTCCTCCTCCTCCTCATTGTCCATCCAAGAAGGGGAGATGTACTTTATCTTCCCTTCCTCTCCTCCTCCTTTCTTTCCGTCTTCCTCTCCTTCCTCTGCTTCTCCTCTTCCTCATTCTAGAGCATGTCTCTGTTCTTTCTCTTCTACCACTTCTTCCTTCTCCTCCTTCAACCCTTTTCTTCTTTCCTTCTCTATCTTCCTCTCCTTCATTCTCCTTCTTGATCATGCATGCTCTTCTACTATCAGCACTTCCTGCTCCTTTCCTTCCCCACTTTTCCATCTCTTTTTCTTTCTCTTCCTCTCCTACATTCCTCCTCCTGCCTCCTCCTTCTTAAACTTCATCTGTTCCTCTCCTAAACCACTTCCTCCTCCTTCCCACTTTTTCTTCTGCTTCTCTTCCTCCTCCTCTCCTTCTCCTCTCTCTTCCTGTCCTCCTCCTCCTCCCTGAGCGTCATCTGTTCTTTTTTCAGTACTACATCCACATTTCCTCCTCCTCCTCCTTTCTTCCCCTCTTGAGTCCCAAAAGAGCAAATTCCCCTCCTTAGATATCATTGTGCAGCCCACTCCCCCAGGAATACTATCCAGGGAGTCCCCAACTTACAACCATATAGTTAGCCATTGTCCAAGGTTACGTTGACACTAAAAAGTAAATTGTGACCGCATTTATAGTTCATTCCTACAGTTTGCAAGTCTTATAGTTGCCAAGGATGTGTTGAAAGAAATGTCCTTCTGGGTTCAGCTCCAAGTGGGGAAAAAGACACTGGAG